ATTTATATTCAGATCTCTAGCTTTTTTTAATTTTAGTTTACCTTTTAGTAATTTTATGTGCTTTTGTAAATTAAATTGTATTGTATATTCGGTTAGATTTTTTTAATTTTATTTTCTGTTTTAGTATATTTAGTACTTCAGCTTAAACGTTTTATTTCATTTTTTTCCATTTCTAATTTGTAAGTTTTAAATTGATTGATATTTTATTTCAGCTTATTTCAGTTCAAATATATTTGTAATTGTTTTACTTCTAGTTTAAGTGAACAATAACGACACTATGCAGCCTCGCTCACGTCATTTATATTCAGATTTATTCATGGGATTCAGTATTGATTGGTCAGAGGGCAGCTCTTCAGAATGTCCACTCATTCACAGTGCTGATTGGTCTTTAGCAGTTTGACCTCTCTGTGACCTTTTCCATTCCTCGGTGGCTGGTGATGTAACACGACTGACTCTCTTTCCTGACCGTCTCCAATACTTTCATTCTCATGTACATAATTTATGAAGAGGGGTAAACCCAATTCAGCAGAAGTGCTGGGCAAATGGATTCCAGCTCTTTGCTGAATAGTAAAGAACATGTATAATGTAATTTTTTTAACAGCAGCACTTTTTTAGTATTATAATTTATTTTATTCCATTAAGAATGACTCAGAATTCCATTCAGAATCATTTTTACTCCATTCAGAATATTTAAATAATGAACGATGATTCTGATGTGTGTAAATATTTTTGTATGTAAAGAGAGTACAGCTTGAAATTAAATGTCTCTAAAATGTTTAACGTTTTAATGCATTTTTTTTTTTTTTTTTTTTTTAGTAAAAACATTATTTTCATTATATTTATATTTTTTGTCTGTATAGTTTTTAGAAATTTTTATTTCAGTTGTATTTGAGTTATTTTAGTACATCAGGTTAAACGAAGTGTAAATGAGAACGTTGCCTGGTCCATTTGCTGAATTAAATTAAGTTTAATCGATGTATTTTAATAACCCTGATTTACATAAACTCTTTAAAATATTCTCTTTTTCTCTGTTATATACATTTTAACTAGCAAATAAGTAAATAAAGTACATATTAAATCTTAAATATAAATAAATGTTAAAATTCTGAGATGTAGATCTGCATGTAAGTTAGTAGTTTTTATATTTATTTATTTGTTTATTTGAATATTTATTTATATTGTAGTAAACAAATGAATAAAAACTAAAAAGCAATTCTATAAAAGGTGCTTATTTTATGTAAGTCTGACAATTGGGAATTTTTCTTGTTAAATCTGGGGGGAAAAAAAACAACAATAATAATTTGGTAAAACGCTGTATTTTACATATTGAACCCTACATCCATGCAGCCCAAAAAAAATAAAAAGGCTGGTTCTTACATAAGCAATACATTTCCTGCCCACTCAGCTCATAGTGACATCTAGTGGGTAGAGTATGTTAGTGCAGAACACTTCCTAATTTTTTGGAGACACTATGAGCCTGTGAATCCAGGAATCTTTCTCTAGAACTAGTCCTCTGTCTTTCAGATCACTCCAGCTGCTGGTCTTGTGTCGATCTTGAAGAGACGAGTCTCTCTGGAAGGAGCCAACAGCTCTGTCCCTGCTGCCCCTAAACCCGTCTCTAAACGCAAAGTCCGTTTCCACGAGCCTGACGAGGGCCTGGACCACGGTAAGAAAACTAAAAACTCATTTGTGCAGTATTCAAACTGACCATGTTCTGATTCTACACTGATTTGCTTATATGCAATATGCAGATGAGGTGGGCGGAGACTCCTGGCTGCTCCTCCTCTTGTTGTGCTTGGCTACTGTGGTGATCAGTGTGGGCGGGACTGCGCTCTACTGCACTTTCGGAGACGCCCAATCCAGTGTGTGCACAGACTTCTCCCATAACATGGACTTCTACATCGGACGGGTGCAGAGGGGCATGGATGAGCTCAAACACTGGCTGTCCCCGAGCTCATAGCAGGACGGGACGGCTCGTTTTCTTCTCCGTTTCTTCTTCTCGGTAGCCTCTGTGATCTTTAATGCCGAGATAACCTCATACGTAGGCCTTTGCTGGGTCACGCTGTCACGGATGAAGCCCGTCTGTCGGGTCCTAAAGGGGACGTCCGGCCCCTGGAAGGCACAACAAACCACTTTGGCCAGTTTTTGACTCAAGTAGCCCACTGTTTACTGCCATCAACTGAACCTCATGTGAAGAGACTTCATTTTTAGAGTCTTAAATCGAAATCTTAATACTTGGTTGACAAAGTTTTGTCTTTTATTCATTGGAAAAGTGAATGACCATCATGGTAAGTGAAAAATGTAAGGGGGTCTGAATACTTTCCGTACCCACCGTAATAATGGACATAATCATCTGTAGCCTGGACGTAGCATTTTCCTGTGATGGGCTTGGATGGACTTATGGAAAGATGGTACAGGAAAGCAATACATGTATATTGAAGAATTACGGATATAGATATAGTTATAGATATATAGATAAAGTCAGCAAAGAGGCAAATCTCGGTTATCATAGTTACCCATTTATTAACAGAGGGGGGAAAAATAATTTCCCAGTAGATTCTGCAATATTTTTTATCATTAATAAAAAGTTAAATCACTGAAGATAGTCAATATATTTTCTTTCTTTTTTTAAAATCTGATACTTTACATACAGTTGACAGTGTCATACACCATCCATCAGACTGAATTTCCTTTGTTTTAATTATTATTATTTTATGTAATTATTATTACTGAATTACTTGTATTTACACTTATTTTATTCAGTTTGCTGGTTGGAATAAATGATGATAATTTCATGACTAATAAATATCAAAATTTATCATTTTAAAGTACAAGTAAAACAGCTGTGTGTGTGTGTGTGCGTGTGTGTGTATATATATATATATATATATATGTGTGTGTGTGTTTAGTTATAGTTATAAAATTAAAAGTTTAGATATTTCTTAGTGTATATTTCATATTTTTATATAACAAATATATTTGATAATATTTATATAAATTGCACACAATATATATTATATATAATTTTTTTTTGTAAAACAGCCAAATCTATTAAATATGTCATTTTCCACATAGAAATGAATTGGTAACTATGCTAACCAGGATTAGTTTCCCCCTAAACCAGGCCTACAGTGTATAGTGGGGAGTTTTTAAGATGAAACCGGTACTAGAACGAGAATGTCATGATTTTAATATCATTTGCTCAGGCATGTCTCTTGTTAATAATCTTAACAGTTATTGTAATCATGATTTTTAATTCATTTTCTTTTTGTTATAAAACCATGACCTCCTGTGTTATGTCTTATTTGGTTATTATTGTTATTATAAGTGCATCCTGTGTTTATTCTACCGAATCTGTGTCTTGAACTTCTTCTATGTTTCCTTCTGAAGCACAGTCTTACTATGGTAATGTCAACACAAGTCTGCAGTAAATGAAGTTAAATTAACGTGTAGATTTAACACATAGATGTCAGTTTGCCTGTGCTCTGCTCAAGTGCATGAACGTACTTGGCGAGAACTGTAAAAGTTTATTTTGTGTTGTCTGGCTGGTTCAGATGACTGTTGAATGTCTTTATTGTGTGAGTTTTCAGTATTTATTTAATGCAAAGCAAAGTCTTTTAGAATCACACGTTCTGGTGCATGCACTCTTTTACGGTCTGTACAAAGACAATTTGAGACTTTGGAACTTATATTTGTTTTACTTAGTTTTGATTTTGTGTATATATCATGTGATGATTGCTGTATTTCTTAATCGTATGGTTCAAATCTGTTTAGTTATTGTCTCGGGGGGGAAATTTCTAAAGGAAAATGCAATGAGATGTCTTTTGACCAAAAATGCCTGGTGAATAAATCTTATTGTTGGGATTGAGGAGTCTCATCATTACTCATTATGTTTTGTTATGTATTAAGGACTGAATAAATCATTAAATATATATATATATATATATATATATATAAACATCCATTCATATTTTTTTATTACATTTCTATTTTACATATTGAATATCCTGGCAAAATGTCGCATTACAGAAGAAATTGGGTTGTGAATGTGCTGACTAAATTATTTACCTAACAATTATGTAATTTATATAACATCATATTATGAAATGGTGGATATATTAATATAACAGTGTAAACAACATAAAATATTTAAAAATAGCTCTCTTTCCCCCCGCGACAATATATATATATATATATATATATATATATATATATATATATATATATATATATATATAAACATCCATTCATATTTTTTTATTACATTTCTATTTTACATATTGAATATCCTGGCAAAATGTCGCATTACAGAAGAAATTGGGTTGTGAATGTGCTGACTAAATTATTTACCTAACAATTATGTAATTTATATAACATCATATTATGAAATGGTGGATATATTAATATAACAGTGTAAACAACATAAAATATTTAAAAATACAGTAATAATTAAAATAAGTAAATTGTTGTGATAATACAAATATTTTATTGTGTTCCCAAGAAAGTTATAATAATAATAAATATATGAAAAGTTTCTTTTCAAATACAGATAACCACGTTTTTATTAATTTTCATAAATCGTGTTTTTTTTATTGCTTTGTTTTTATTGTGTTAGTTAGCGGTATTTTTTTTTGTTTGTTATTATTATTTAATCAAAACAACCCAACTGCAGTTTGATTGATATTAACTGGAATGCAGGATACATTTTAAAAAACATGATTAAAACAGAGTTATCTGTTTGTGCAAATTATCTCTTCATATAATTATGTAATTTATCTAACATTAACGATAAAAACCGTGTGTGTGTGTGTGTGTGTGTGTTATGTTGTAACAATACAAACAACATAAATCATATACTGTAATCCCAAGAATCGTTTTATCCCAAAACCGTTCCGCCTACAAACCGCGTAGACCAATCAAAATCGAGCTGACGTGACGTATTTCACGGTTGTGTTCTAGCTGTACTGTCTGCGTATCCTCGACGCAATTCTTCTTTTCTGCGTAATTTTTGTAATTACAACAACTTCTAAATCGATGTACAATTATCTAACGAATCCTCGTCTGGGCATCCATCTTCCTCCGTCATTATCTTATTAATTCCGAGGGTGCGCATACAAAGCTGCACATCGAAGACGCTCTTGAATGAACCTCGACTTGTAGGCGTCAGCGGAAGTTTGTGTCAGGTGTTCGTCGCGCGGATCGCAGTCGGTCTCTTCCAGTCTCAGTCCAGACTCCAGACGAGCAGCAGCGCTATGGCGGCGTTCAGTACCTCATCCAGCAGGCCCTACCACATCGTCATCTTTGGCGCTTCAGGCTTCACGGGGCAGTTCGTGGTGGAGGAGGTGGCCCGCACCGCATCCGAGGGTCCCAAGGGGAGTCTGAAATGGGCCGTAGCCGGCAGGAACAGAGCCAAGCTGGAGAAAGTCGTGGAGCAGGCCGCCGAAGCTCTCAGTGCGTCAAGCCTCCTTCAGTTAAGCTAGATTTGCTTTAATAACCGTCTACGTTTGAATTTAGTGAACTGATATAACCGTCCAATACGCTTTCGCGCCAAAAAAATACCATAGTTTCTGCAAAAATACCATAGTACAGTTATTTTCTTAGCTTTGTAAAATCATCAAAAGTGTTTCAGAAAAGTTCCTGGCTCGTTTCATTCATTGATTGATGATTTCTGTAGTAATATCTGCTGGTCACAACGAGGAACTATGCTATTTTAGACAACTTTTGGTGACTGTGGTATTTGTGTAATGCAATAGATGTTGTAAGACACTAGAAAAAATCATCTGAACTATTACTGAGCTCATATGAGTGCATCATGCATTGATGCCGATGAATGATATGATGTGCGTTGAACTAGTACGACTATGACAAGGTTATCACTGTCAAGTAAAACCGTTACAATTAGTTTAATATGGAAATCAAGTATAAATATTTTAAACTAAATGAAAATTAGAAGTGCTGCCTTGAATGAATAGCAAATACATTTCAGACACAAATGACTTGCTGTAAATTACTAACTGTATTTACAACTGAAATACAAAATGAAACAGTAATATTTAAAATGACAGAAGCACATCAAATGACTAAAATAATTGTAAGTATATATGTTGCATGATCATTTTAATCTTTTCAACAGTTAAAATGCTCTGTTCAGTTGCTTTGACACAATCTGTATTGTTAAAAGCGCTATATAAATAAAGGTGACTTGACTTGACTAAGTCTAAAGAAAAGTTGCATTGTACATTTGACCTCTCGATGCTCAGCAGAGGTCATTCGCAAATTTAGGGATGTGTCCACTCTTCAGAGATATTTACTGATGTTTTGCATCTTTTGAGATAGTTGAGCAGAATGAGTTCTCATCGAAAACATCTGCATTTCAATTGTGTTATGCTTTTAGCAGAGGTACAAAAGGAAGCATCATAGAGTAATAGGAGCAGCAAACTTGAAACTTGGCAATGACTTGGATGTGTTAGAAGGGTTGACCCGACTATATTGGACTGGACTTGACTTTGACCCGCATCATGGCAATCGGTAGTGAACTGTTTTTCTTTAATGCTTGATACTGTTCTGCTTTGCCTAATAAATGCCTTTGTGTGGGACATTGCGTTGTTCAGCTTGTAGGATCATCTACATGCATTTTTTTAAACAATAGGCTCTTTGGTCGTGGTGGTCTTCAGAGACGGTTTAATTAATCCTCAACAGCTGATGGAAAATTATATTCCAGTGACATATTCAATGCCTTTAATCACGCAGCTTTGAATGGATGGGCTCAAGCAGAACATTTGCGCCGAGTTATATTTAGATTTCAGTAAGAATTCATTTAGCCAGACGGGTCACTGAATAAAGATAGGACTGTTTAGGATTCCTTTTAGTGAAAGTTATCTGATCTTAGTGGACAAACTGAATTATTTATGACATGGAGTTTGACCTAGACCGTTTTGCATTTATGCAGTAAATCGTAATCTTGAATAATATATATATATATATATATATATATATATATTATATTATATTAGTGCTAAAATGACTAAAACTGAAAGCAAAATAAAAATAAAAAAAATATTACAAAAGCACATTAAACAAACTAGTTCAGTATCAATGAACAACCCCACATACTTATAATAAGACCGTACAAATGGGAGTGTTAGAGTTTAACAACACTGAACCAGTTAAACTGGACTGAAACTGAACTAGCTGAAACGGTAAACGCATGAGGTTTTAGAAGAATGAGAACATTGACTTATTAAAGGAACACGCCACTATTTTTGAAAATAGGCCCATTTTCCAACTCCCCGAGAGTTAAACAGTTGAGTTTTACCGTTTTCGAATCCATTCAGCCGATATTTTTCCTATTTAAAACTTGACTCTTCTGTAGTTACAGGTGCATCTCAATAAATTAGAATGTCGTGGAAAAGTTCATTTATTTCAGTAATTCAACTCAAATTGTGAAACTCGTATTAAATAAATTCAGTGCACACAGACTGAAGTAGTTTAAGTCTTTGGTTCTTTGAATTGTGATGATTTTGGCTCACATTTAACAAAAACCCACCAATTCACTATCTCAACAAATTAGAATATGGTGACATGCCAATCAGCTAATCAACTCAAAACACCTGCAAAGGTTTCCTGAGCCTTCAAAATGATCTCTCAGTTTGGTTCACTAGGCTACACTATAGTTGAATTACTGAAATAAATGAACTTTTCCACGACATTCTAATTTATTGAGATGCACCTGTATGTGTGTGAAGAGTTTATTTGCAAAAACAGATAACTCGGTATATAAAAAAATTCACAAATCATGTTTTTTTTATTATTTTATCATGTGTTTATTGCGTTTTATTGTTAATTAGCTGTATTTTAGATTAACTGGAATGTACAATGAAAAAAACATGATTGCTGAAAATTGTTAAAAACAGAGTTATCTGTTTTTGCAAATGAACTCTTTATATATATATACAGTGGGTACGGAAAGTATTCAGACCCCCTTAAATTTTTCTCTCTTTGTTATATTGCAGCCATTTGCTAAAATCATTTAAGTTAAATTTTTTTCCTCATTAATGTACACACAGCACCCCATATTGACAGAAAAACACAGAATTGTTGACATTTTTGCAGATTTATTAAAAAAGAAAAACTGAAATATCACATGGTCCTAAGTATTCAGACCCTTTGCTCAGTATTTAGTAGAAGGACCCTTTTGATCTAATACAGCCATGAGTCTTTTTGGGAAAGATGCAACAAGTTTTTCACACCTGGATTTGGGGATCCTCTGCCATTCCTCCTTGCAGATCCTCTCCAGGTCTGTCAGGTTGGATGGTAAACGTTGGTGGACAGCCATTTTTAGGACCCCCCAGAGATGCTCAATTGGGTTTAAGTCTATATATATATAATTATTATTATTTTTTTTCCCATTGGCTAAGCAACAGTTATACAAGAGTAAGATATACAACAATAAGGCATATTGACTTGACTGTCATATTCATTCACATCAAAATCCAATTAAATTTGGCAACTACCTCGACTATAGACTAAAAAAAATTACTGCATTACTATAAAATGACCTGCATTGCCATAAATACTTTGATATGTTTTACATGTACTGACACTCTGTGCATGTTTCTTACAGGTTCAGTATGGGGCGTATGTTGGCATCGGTGGCATTTCCAACATTTTCAAACTTGTCTTCGCTGGATTGATGTTCTTTTTCCTTGTAAAGTTCAGCTTTGGCAGAAATCTCCTCATAAAGGTAAAACATACCGTAGCTTTCACAACATGATACAGTATATTTAATGCAAAAACACTGCATTTAATTTGATGCCTACATTTTAATTTATGGATCTTGTGTAATCAAATATATACTTTGTCTGCAGTTTCCAGAGTTTTTCTCATTCAGCTTCTTCTCCAAAGCAGGTCCAACTAGAAAACAGGTATTATACTCACATCATCATCTAGGCTATCAGCTCTATTTTTTTAGGATCGGTTTCATTTAAATGTGATATCTGCAGATGGAGGGCTCCTCCTTCCGTTTCATCTTTCTTGGAGAGGGTTACACTGAAGGTTCAGACCCTAGTGAGGGTAAACCCAATGGCAAGATCCGCACTCTGGTCAAAGGACCAGGTAACGTATTCAGATCTGCCTCATATTAATGTAGCTACATCAGTGCATATTTCCCATATCCATTATTTTGGTGTGTGGTGTTTTCCAGAGGTAGGATATGTTGCCACACCAATCGCTATGGTTCAAGCGGCTCTTACCATGTTAAACGAATCAGATTCTCTTCCAAACACGTGAGTCCAGCCATATAGGAGGTCAAAACTAAACCGAAATAAACAGTTTGTATTGTTAGTTCACCCAAAGCTGAAAATTCTCACCCTCAAGCTGTTCAAAACCTGGATGAATTTCTTCTGTTGAACACAAATTTTAAGATATTTTGAGGAATGTTGTTAAACAAACAGTTGCCGGTCCCCATTGACTTCCATGGTGTGGAAGAAAATACTATGGAAGGCAATTAGGACCAGCAACTGTATAGTTACCAACATTCTTCTTTTGTGTTCAGCAGAAGAAAGAAACACATACAGGTTTGGAACAGTTTGAGTGATGACAGAATTTTCATTTTTGGGTGATCTGTCCCTTTAAGTGGCATATTCTGAATGTATATTATTGGGTGGTTCTCCACAGTGGCGGGGTTTACACTCCAGGAGCGACGTTCGCCAAGACCACCCTCATCGACCGCCTCAACAAACACGGCATTCAGTTCTCCGTCCTTTAAGTGAGAGATTAAACAGGGATTTGATGCCTACATTTTAATTTATGGATCTTGTGTAATCAAATATATACTTTGTCTGCAGTTTCCAGAGTTTTTCTCATTCAGCTTCTTCTCCAAAGCAGGTCCAACTAGAAAACAGGTATTATACTCACATCATCATCTAGGCTATCAGCTCTATTTTTTTAGGATCGGTTTCATTTAAATGTGATATCTGCAGATGGAGGGCTCCTCCTTCCGTTTCATCTTTCTTGGAGAGGGTTACACTGAAGGTTCAGACCCTAGTGAGGGTAAACCCAATGGCAAGATCCGCACTCTGGTCAAAGGACCAGGTAACGAATTCAGATCTGCCTCATATTAATGTAGCTACATCAGTGCATATTTCCCATATCCATTATTTTGTTGTGTGGTGTTTTCCTGAGGCAGGATATGTTGCCACACCAATCGCTATGGTTCAAGCGGCTCTTACCATGTTAAACGAATCAGATTCTCTTCCAAACACGTGAGTCCAGCCATATAGGAGGTCAAAACTAAACCGAAATAAACAGTTTGTATTGTTAGTTCACCCAAAGCTGAAAATTCTCACCCTCAAGCTGTTCAAAACCTGGATGAATTTCTTCTGTTGAACACAAATTTTAAGATATTTTGAGGAATGTTGTTAAACAAACAGTTGCCAGTCCCCATTGACTTCCATGGTGTGGAAGAAAATACTATGGAAGGCAATTAGGACCAGCAACTGTATAGTTACCAACATTCTTCTTTTGTGTTCAGCAGAAGAAATAAACACATACAGGTTTGGAACAGTTTGAGTGATGACAGAATTTTTTCATTTTTGGGTGATCTGTCACTTTAAGTGGCATATTCTGAATGTATATTATTGGGTGGTTCTCCACAGTGGCGGGGTTTACACTCCAGGAGCGACGTTCGCCAAGACCACCCTCATCGACCGCCTCAACAAACACGGCATTCAGTTCTCCGTCCTTTAAGTGAGAGATTAAACAGGGCTCAACTGGCTTGACTAACATCAGTCTATTCATTTGCTTGAGCATAGAGAAGTCTTGTTGCTATTTAAAGCTTCGCTGTTTTCCGGTTTAGTGTCCTCGCTTGTGCATGGAACACTGGGATGGGGTTGTTAGCATGCACTCTGCTCAAATGGCTGAGAAATTTGCACTACGAGAGTGGAGCAAACACTCTTGAAATCCCTCCATTTGATCACGTTTCAGTTTGAAAATTTGACTTTTTTGTTTTTGCATTGTTTTTATCACTAACAGAAATGCCAATTCTCACAGATGACAGACATCTCTAAAGACATATTTAAAAGCACACCCAGAGTTGAGAGAAATATAGTTTGAGTAAGAAAAAGAACTAGTTTTTGTAATTGTCATGAGTTGTTCTATTTGTGACTCCTGTAACTGTAGCAGAACAGTTTAACTAATACAAGAAATGAGAGAAAAAATGTTTTAGAGACCAATGAATCTGTGAGTTATTTGAAAGATTGCAGAATGTTGTTCTGGTTTGTTTCTAACTAAATAAAGAACATATCAAACTGTATTCTGTGTCTAATATTGTGTAACTGAAATGTAGTTGCATAGTGTATACGGCCTACTTTTATAGTCTGTGAGGTATGTCACGACAATTCATGCAATTTTGCGTTAAAATAATAATTATTGAGGGCTGGGTTGACGATATCGATTTTTCGATCCTAACCAATGCTTATTTTGATGAACCACTGTTTCTTAAATCCCGGACTCGTGAACAAAATTGTATTAAACCTTATTAGTAACACTTCTGAATCGCCATAAGCTTTGTGCTTTCTTACTTTTTACATGAAACAAAGTCTCAGCTTTCAAGTTCTGTCAATGTAATCACAAAAATCTAACAATAAATACCTTTAATGTAGCGTGACATCGCTGTAGCTCCTCAGTTAAGGCAGCACGTGGACAGATCATCTCTACCTCTTTACTACTAGCTATAGCACGAAATTCTGTAGCAAACTGAAACCTTGGACCCCCTCTTCCGGGCAAAAAATTAAATACTAGCCTAGGTTATTGTGTCCACTTCTACTGCAAAAGTTACCTCTGACAATTCCAGCTCTTAAGAGGCCAACACAACAAGCAAACAGCACAGCACACCAAAATAAAACGGCTCATTTGAGTAAAATGCAAATCACTAAATCGGAGTCAAATAAATTTTTCATTTAAGGTTAATCTTGAAAATTACATATTTAACCCCACCGGTCACAATAGTGACCGTAAAGTTTTTAATTTATAAAGCTCTAAAAATGTTACCGACTGGTGTTGTAGTGCATTTTCTACAAATATGGAAAAAAAATAAAGGATCTCGATTAAATATGTGCAGTGTCACATGTTTAGTGCAAATTGTCACATGACCAGAGCAGTTTACTTCCTGTTTGCACCTTGATAATATGATTGCTGCATCGAAGCTCCAAAACAAAAGGCTAGTAAAGTGTTAAAGATATGACAGGTTTTTGGTACACTTTATCTTTAAGGTGTCTAGTATTAATATATGAATTCAGTTATTCGGTTTTGTTGAGTGTGGACAAAGAATGAGTAAACATGTTGGCAACAAGTGACCGGTGGGATAACTATTTTAGTTTTTTGTCTTAGTATACCTATTCAGTGTTTTGTGTATAATAGCAACCATAGAATGTGATGAAACAGTTTCAAATGGGTTAATAACTGGGCTGAGATATATAAGAATTGTGATGACAGCGGAAATAATTAAATTTCAGTATACACATTATCCCACTGATCACTCACAACACACACTTTTCCATAAAAATTTCAAGGGGTTACTAATGACATCATTTTGATATTTTCATGCCCATTTCATTAAATGGGTTAAATTCACAACAATGCCCCGTCTAATCTTACCTGCTCTTCCATAGTGAACAAGGTACTCTAATACTCTAATGCAGGTTCCCCACAGAAGTTCAGTAGCCCCTCACTGCAGAACAAAAGATCCAGGGGGCGTGGTTGGATCCAGATCTAGGGGGTGGAGATGGGTGGGTTTAGGGATCAGGGGGTGGAGACGGGTAGGTTTAGGAATATGTATAATGGGAGGAGTTGGATCTGGATCAAACCACGCCCCCTGGATCTTGTGTTCAGCAGTGAGGATCAAACCCCACCCATCTAGGTGTAATGACTGTCAATTTTAGTCTCTCATTGGCCATTTGTAATGTGTAATTTATAGCTGGACCACCAATCACAGTACCAATCACACACACAACCTTCATTTAACCCTTCACATACCAACACAATCTCAACAGCCAGATTTAAAGGGTTTATTTCATAAATATTTTATTCAGTGTTCACTTGTAAAATAAAAAAGACACAAATGACTTTTTTTTGTCACTTTAAGTGAATGTTTACTTCTAGTTTGGGGTCAGTAAAATAAAAAATTATAAAAATTTTAAAAAGAAATTACTACTTTTAAATTATCCATTAAATTGATTAAGATTGTCAGTAAAAATCTTTAGAATGCTACAAAAGATTCCTATTTCAGATAAACTGTTAAAAAAAATTATCAAAGAATCCTGAAATGTATCAGTTTTCGCAAAAATAATACACAAGTGTTTTCAAAACTGATAAGAAGAAGAAATATTTCTTCAGCAAATCAGCATATTGTTAGACACTGAAGACTGGAGTAACGGCTGCTGAAAATTCAGCTTTGCCATCACAGAAAGAAATTACATTTCATAATACAGTTACATAGCCTTGGTGAGACTTCATTCAAAAACCCCAAACTTTTGAATGGTACGGTATAATATTTCTCATATCAGAGACTTTTACCCTGTAGGCCCCACAGCTCCAGCACCAGGGCATTGCTCTGAAGGTAGTTGAGCAGTTCCTGAGAGGTTCTCCGAGCAGTGAACTGGACTCTGTGATCCAAGAGCGGGTTTACATTGTGCCACACCGCTGGAGTGTAGAGAGGCTGTGAACAGTCAAACACCTGAAACCTGTCGAGTTCTGATCTTTAGTTGAACTTCAGTCTCTAGGCTATTAATTTAGACTTTAGTAGCATTACAAGGAAACTGATGCTTGCAGAATTCAAAATGGCATGGACCAAAACAGTAATATTACAGGCAAAATCAAAAAACAATGTAAAACAAATCCAGTAAAGAATACAGAAGACAACTTCAGAAGGATCTGGATTTCAGGATTTTGGACACATTCTTTGATGATGATGATGCTTCCTACAGAACACAGAGCTCAAAAAAGATTTAATTTCAAATATCAACAGGGATGCAAATCATCAGAAACAGTGTTGTTACTGTAAATTCAAATATTAAAAAAGTCAACTGAAATGAAGCTGAAATAAAATAAAATATTACATGTAGAACTTTAACCAAATGAAAATTGTATTAAATGAAAAGTACTAGAACTACTAGCTGACATATTACTAAATCTGAAATAAAATAAATGTAAACTATTTAGAAATATAAAAATAACTAAAAATGAAAATATTTAGGTCCAAATTAATCTGGCGATGAATCTGATGATAATTATGGGACATGCAGAAGCACTATTGCTAAAATAAAACAAATAAATTTTTAATAAATTTATATTTCATAAAATATCATAAATTAATATTTCATAAATAAATGAATCTTTCGTAAATTAATTTTGGGACACACAGAAGTCTTATTTCTAATATAAAACAGAAATAAGATTTCACAAAATCTATACAAATACTTTATGAAGAGTTCAACAAACTTTCCATTACATACTGCCAGCACTGATCCGAACTAACCCCATCTGCACGCCTCTGTTCCGGGCCTCTTTAACCCAGCGTAGGCCACAGCACTGATCCAAGACCAGCTGAAAGTCCAGTCGTTTCCCAAGCAGCTCTGAAGGGTCTACAATATATAAATATCACAGCACCACTAATATTTCATTCGTTCAACACATTTCAATGCAGAAATGATACCCACAATCCCGTTGGGCTGCAGGGCACTAGCTGTGCCTGCAGTATGGCCTCCTCTGTTCCTTCCGGACCCACCACTTCCACCTGCTCCTCCAGAGGGATGCGAAACGCCAGGGACTGCAGCCACAGGTGCAGGGGCTCCAGAGGATCCCAGAAGGAATTTCTGTCCCTGGAAAGAGGAGCTCGGTCTGCCCCCTCTCCTCCTACCACCTGCTGCTGGTATACCTCCTCCATCAGAAACTTACGGTTGACAAATTTGGCTTTGGACCACATCCACACCTAAGACAAAAAGCATGGACATTTAGATGATAACAGATCTCATGTTTTTATAAAAAAGTCTGAAAGGCACAGCAGCAAAAATCGCCTGTTTAAATATAAGGGTCAGAGAAAGGGTGGAAAATAGGCATGTAAAATTAAATAAGGACTGCTTTAGTGCAAAAAAAAAAGAAACCTTGATTCGTATTTTAAAAGTGAACTTGAGGGCAATAAAATGGATTGCTACAAAATGGTTCCTTCCAAACAAATGAAAATTCTGTCACCATTTACTCATCCTCAAGTTTTTCCAAACCTGTATGAATTTCTTTCGGCTGTTAAAAATAAAATTAGATATTTTGAAGAACAGTTTCTGATCCCCATTGACTTCTATAGAATGTTTCCATACTATGGAAGTCAATGGGGACCAGCAACGGTTTGGTTATCAACATTCTTCAAAATATCTTTTAAGTTCAACAGAAACTCAAACAGGTTTAAACAACTTCAGGATGAGTACATGATCACAGAATTTTCATTTTTTGCATGAACTATCCCTTTGAGCCCCATTTCATACTAAGAGGTATTTTTTAGCTATTGCTTGCCAAAAACGAATTGGTAAACTTTTACATGATCATAAGTGTTGTCACTGTACTCACCTTCTTTAACTCTTTACTCATTTGATTAGCTTCTGTCACCATGGGCATCAGCTTTATATAGTCATAAAACACAGCAGTAGTCATGCTGGTGTGGCCCTGCAGGTGGTGTTATTGTTAACTAAAACCATTAGAACAAATCAAATGCAAATATTAGCTGAAAAAAAGAAGAAGAAAAAAGAAGTGCTGCCTGAGCAAAACAAAAACTAATAAAAAATAAAAAATGAAATGAAAACTGAAAATATAAAAATTAATTCTAATTCGAAATATGAATACATCTTATAAAAGTACATAAATGGTATTTTTCAAAAGTACCTTTGTATTTATTTAATGGTAAAACTATACTTTAGTGATCCTTTTGATCGGATAGTTCATGCAAAAAATGAAAATTCTGTCACCATTTACTCATCCTCAAGTTTTTCCAAACCTGTATGAATTTCTTTCGGCTGTTAAAAATAAAATTAGATATTTTGAAGAACAGTTTCTGATCCCCATTGACTTCTATAGACTGTTTCCATACTATGGAAGTCAATGGGGACCAGCAACGGTTTGGTTATCAACATTCTTCAAAATATCTTTTAAGTTCAACAGAAACTCAAACAGGTTTAAACAACTTCAGGATGAGTACATGATCACAGAATTTTCATTTTTTTGCATGAACTATCCCTTTGAGCCCCATTTCATACTAAGAGGTATTTT